GAGACCAGACTGTCCCTGCAATCCCTTATGCCACGCTGTTTGCCCCAGTCAGGTGTTCCACGGCCAGGTGGGTGGGTGGCCATGTACCTAATGGTGGAGGGGAGCTGGCTGGAGAGCACACCCTGCCTTGCACACCACTGGTACAGGCACATCAGGAATGTGCATGCAGCCTATCCCCTTATTGCTGGGGTTTAAGCATGTCTTAAAGGGTGCCAGTGCACTCTGCCCATCATTCTGCCCTCCTCATTTATTGTTCTGAGACATCAGAACCCCACAGAGGAGCTTGCATACCAATGGGAAGAGATTTCATGCCCAGGCAGAGTGGTGTGTGCCATCTGATACAGCATTTCCAGAGGAATAATGACTGAACTAATCTAATGGATTCTGGTGCCCGACTTTGAGTGAAAATATTCAGTCACATTCTACTTGCAATATAAAAACATCTCCATGCTGTGAGATTATCTGAGTAATTTACAACACATTTTAATCAGAGATATGTGGTGTTATTTTTAAACCTGCCAAAATTTTATGCCAAATGGTGTGGGATATTACAGTTACAGGGCCTCAAAAGAGTTATTTGTCTCTGTTTATTTTATTAAATATTCTTAGACACAGCCTTAAGATGACAGATCAATAAGTGCCTTTGTGGTTTCCTGATAGAAGGCAGCAATTACTTTCTTCCATTACAATATAAGCATAACCTAATTTTACTCATCTATCATGTGTGTAATGGTAATAAAGAAGCATAACCATGTGTTTATTTTACCCTCACTTTGTTTTTTCTTTTGGTGATCTTCTGTTTTCCTTTCAAGTTTTCCAACTGTCTATGCCTTTCATTTTATAGGAATTATGACCAGTTTGTCTTGCTTTATGACACTTTCTGGGAGCATGGTGGCAAAAGCTTATCTGTGGTTTCTCTTTTCCTGTAAGGTCTAAGTATTTTAGGCCTTCACCTGAACTTATCTGTAGAAAAAACAAAGACATAAGATCTTTACAGAGCTGAATTTGGATTTCATTTCTGGAGATGTTTTATCATGTAAGTCCATAATGATTAAAGTCAGGTAATTTGGCTTACAATTGTTTAGCACATAAGAGATGCAGAAAGGACCAAAAAAGCCTGTAAGATCTTGATGTATCTAATGACAACTGAAATGTATAATTGAGATTGTCAAGGCTAAAGTCAGCTAATCTTCCTCACTTGAAAAATCCCATTTAATCCATGGTAAAGATGCACACTACTGGACTGTGTCTGCAAATGAAGTGAGCAGCATTTGTCTCCTCATCTAAACACACCTCAGCTTTGAGGGCACCACACTGGGGCTGGTAATGACTAACTGACCAAATAAACATCCAGTTTTCTCTTTGTTGTGGGAGATTCCTGAACAGTGATTCAAACCCCCCCACAGCTACCTCTCAGATATCTTTGTCCTGACTCAAGCAATAAAATCTCCTTACTATTACTCCCAATTTTTCTTTTAATTCAAAGCCAGTTCTATTTCCATCTTGCTGTCATTTAAGTGTCAGCAAGCTCTTCACTGAGGGAAATTATTAGGTGACAGTACTAACTGGTCACAGCTCTGCTGAAGTACATCTGACATCAATCAGATGCTCCATCAGATTCTCTCTTCCTAACTGTGACTTCAGTGAACCCAGGTTTTGGCTTAATATCTATTACACTTAAACACAACTGGAAATGTTTTATTTTGATTTTATGAAGTTTTCCATGAGCACTGGAGGAAGTGAAGCACAGTTGTGTCTGGATTTATATATTGTGGTTGGTTGACTTTGCTCTTCAACTAAGCTCTGGAGACTTTTCCCATGGGTGAGCAATACCTTCTCCAGTCCTTGCTAGTCCTTCTGATGTGTAAAAAGGTACTCCTATAATTTCATCAGTTTCCATAGCCTAAGCCTATATGGGACCTGTTTCTGGATTCACATTTGAATTCACATCTTTAAGATTCCTTATTGCTGAGGCTATAAGGATAACTAACAGAAAGACAGACCTAAAACAGCACAACCCCATAAATGTCACTCCTTTAGAAAACAAGGCCAAAACAGAACAAATTTTGCCAATCGCATCAAGATGAGAGGAAGTTTTCTTATTTTTTGCTTTAAATATGAGAAGAACAAGCTGAGGAAGTGTTTTGGATGTATCATGCAGGTTTATTTTGGTCTAATTCTACCTTTAGAGGCCTCAGATTAAACAGTCCTGAGGGACAGCCACTTAAAAAGATGGAATACCCGAAGTCAAACAAAATTATATACAATTGTCTTATGGGACTTTTTTTGGTAACATGAAATGGCTTTCATCAATCAGACTCTAACTGTAAATTATCAGAGAGCATTGCCTTGCAAAGAGTGATAGAGGCCCATTTTTCTTTTTAATGCTGAAGTTAGTGGTATAGCATATTCACTGCTGGACTGTTTTCACTGTCCTATGACTCAATTTTGCAGTGATCAGTGGCTTTCACTTGCATGAGTGGTCTGTGGTTTTATTCTCTTGACATCAAAGATCATCCTGGCTACATTACAGAAACAAGTTTTGAACTTGGCAAAAGTAAACTGTGACAAACTCTCAGATTTTAGAAAAGCCTTCCTTTAAGTTGAAGGTGACTTACAAAAAGGGGAAAAATGTTTTATGCCCTCATGTACACTTTTATAATATACAAAGAAGGGCCTAAGAAGAGTTGAGGGGTTTGAGGCTCTTTTTTATTAATTATTATTTAATCTCCAGCAAAATCAGGAAAGACCAGATTTGACATTTTTGAGGCAAATATAAGAAATAATGTTCTTTCCTTCTTCTGCCTGCTCCTTCCCGTCCTTCACATTCCAACCTTTCAGGTCCACTTTACACACCAGAGAAAATCAGGTGTATAAAGGATGGTTGGAAAATTATTGCCAATCTTTTTGGCTAGTTGAAACCTGAAAAACCTCAAAGGACACTTTTTACTGGAGCCTTAATGAGTCCTCTGGAATAAGGCAAAGGAAATGGAATGGCAAAGCTTGACAGTCTTGATATTTCAGTGTCAAGCAAACAACCAGGACAAAAATTTCTGACTGCCTTTATGCCTTTTAAAAGAACCACAAGAAATCACAGAAACATTTTTCCTTTTATCAATTTAATGTAGCAGAAATCAGAGCTATGATGACATTTCTTGAAAATAGGCAACTATAATAAACATGTCAGCAGTACAAGACATTCATTCTGATATGCAAAGCAGCAGCAGACTCTAGAAAAGCTTTTGAAACACGAAAGTACTTCCCAGCATGTGAAAAACAGCAAATTATTCTGTCAATATTTTAATGGCATACTTCGCTTTGAAGAGATCACCTTATGAAATGTGTGTATAGGCAAGTGCAAAATGAGATAAGCTAAAGGCCATGAGCTTTAAAGACAGTCATCCACAAATCATATACCCCAGGAATATAGAATAAAATACTTTCAGAGAAGGACAATGGTTCTTTTTAAAAATGAATTGAAAAATGAAAAATAAAAAAAAAAAAGAAAAAAGAGGATATTACTACCTGAAATGAAAAATTAGGACAGCAATAACACAGCGAAGAGAGATAAGCTACTGTGCTGAATGTTTGCTAACTTGTTTTTAGTTCCTGAAAATCGCCTGTCCCCCTCCCACAAAAAAAGGAATGAAATGCTGTGTCTGTTGGGGCTGCTGTATCAGCATCCACTGGCAATGCCCACATCTGTGAACACCTGGAGCCTGCTATAAGCAGTCATCCCCCAAATGCCAAGGCTGCTGTGCTTATGCTCAGACCACTTCAGATCCCCTCTGAGCACATTCCTGCTACTGGGGAGAAGCCAGAAGGTCTCTGCAATGGGTTCTTCTCCCCAGACTGGCCTGCCTCACCTCTGGCAGTGGGGAGCAGCCTTTCTCTTTGACAAATTAGACTCCCACCTCCAACCAGGCCATTGTGCCCACATCCTAAACTGATGCCCTGTGCTGAGGAGCTGTGTTGAAGAGGACACTGGTGATACCTGGGGTGGAGAAGGTCTGTGGCTCCCACTCTCACTTTGAGCTGTCCCAACAATGGGATATGATGGATACCATTCACCTCTAAATGCAAGTTGAGCTGTTGATCTGTCCTGACACAGGCCTGAGCAGAGCCCCGTCACAGAGGCTCTGGCCCTCTGGTAGAAGACAGCATTCCACCTCTGAGCTCCAAATCTCTTGTATTGAAGAAAAGAAAGTTCTCCAAGTAGGATATTTAAGGGCCTGCTTCATAAGCAGGTGATTGAAAGGTCTAATGTTTCATTTTCCAAAGTAACTGTTCTAAGTACCAATTCCCAGATTCTGTATTTCTTTTAAAAGACCTGAAACCAGCACAGACACTGGCCAGAAGGGAAAGGGAAAATTTCTGTGCTTCCTCTGCTCACAGTATTTCATATGGTTGGAGAGCAGCAACCTCCTTAAGTCATGGTGTACAGAAATGCAACCCTCCCACCCAAGACCACCTGAACCCTTGTTCAGATACAGATTTCACTGACACTTCTTTCATGCAGAAAATTGATGTCAGTCGGACTGTTTCTGCACCAAGCATGAGTAACTGCATTACAATCTGGCTCTTCATGGCATATTCCAAACCAGCTCTTTCATTTTTTTCTGAGAAGGGCAGTGATTCAGCATTAACATACTTTTCAGTATGTGATGTTTTTCAGGGACTCTTCAGTGCACATGAATATGAATGTTTATGAATACTTTTTTAAATATTAAAAGAAATAACTGCCTAAATGTTCCATTTATCTGCATCATAGTTTCTCAAACAAAAAAACTATGTTTTTTAGCCCCATAAAGACCTCCTCAATTTTTATACTTAATTTACAGGAACTAATCCTTTTAGAGATAATCAACATCAATGCTAAGAAGTCTGCAATGATCAGGGACTTACATTTTGTAACTGAAACTGAAGGGATAGATACCTGGCAATGGAAAAGGCAAGAGAGAACAAACGTCCCAAAATGTAACAAATCAATTATCACTTACCCTGTTCAAGCAGTATTTGCTGTCTTTCCCATAAAAGTGTTGGAGACATTTCATGTTCTGCTTGTCAACAATCTTATTGAAGAACTCGTTGATGGTTCGCACAGAGACGGCACAGACAGCAGATCGGTTGGTTGGTTCAGAAGAGTCTGGTTTGCTTTGTGCAAAAACACCATAGAGGATATCATCATTGAGCCCAAGGCCCATTTCGTGTGCTAGAGCTGCTCCAGGCTTGCTTACGTAGGCAGCTTGCAAAATGTTGAATACCTCCTTTCGGATGGACCTCCTTCTTCGCTTTTCAGTAAAAATGCACTCAAGAGGCATTTCCATGTAGGAACGCATCTCTGAGTCTAAAGTGCAGAAGCGGATAATTCTAGTGTGAAAAGATTGCGAGTCAAGAGTTTCTCTCTGTACAGTCAAAAAGTAGACAAAGTGATCATTTTCAAAGGCATGGACATACTTAATGGGATACGAGTCACGGAACTGAGGGAGGATATCTATATAGGATTGATCTGTGAGAAACTCAAAACCGTCCTGTGTTTCTTTTAATCTTCTAACCGATATTGAATGCAGCACATGGGGATGTTGAAATGTAGATGTCACAGTATTTCCAACAAAGAAGTTGACAAACCTGTCTTTTTCGGTCACCAAAACTTTAGTTCCTAAAGTGCTAACAACACAGTCAGGGCAGTTATCCGCTTCTCCATCTGCCTGGGGTGAGTACATGCAGTGCACCTCGCTTTCAATGTCAGCAGGGTTGTCAGGGTGAATGATGTGACGGTGGCAGATGCCTCCGGACACACTACCACAGCTAATGAGCTGGTCATCATAATAAGTTTCTAAAAGCAGTGCCATGTTGATGTTATCCTTCCATATGCTGTTAGATAAATTGGCTTTATCTCGGCAGTCTTCACATGGTGCACAGTCAGGGTTCTCCAAAACAGGCCCAGTCTTGTACACAGAAATGTTCTGGAGAGTTTCATTTAGTACGTAAATCTTATTGACTGCTCCAATATAAACATGATGTTTGTATAAAACTACATTCTGAATTGGTGTGTCTGCAATAAAGTTAGGAAGATCGTATTTTACACCAAGATTCATCTCTGATCTTTTAGCTGCTTCTTTGCATTGTCCATGACTCTTCTGCAGCAAGGCAAACAGGAATACGATAAACCCAGAGGCATATGCAGTAAAAGGCTTCATTGTCAGAGATCTAATCTGTCAAAATATATTTAATGGAAAAACTGGTTATATTTCATATAGTAAACTGTCAGTTTATCAGACAACAGAAATCCGTTTCTAGGCTGCATGTAGTAGCTGAACTATTTCAGTTTAAGAAGCGTTGCAATCTTGCTTAGTGTCATAATAGTTGTGCTAGAAATGGTTACAATCACTGTTCTTTGTGGGTACCCATTTCACTGCCTTTAGAACAATTCACAGAAGGATTTTCTTATGATGAATTTCTCAAGACCACTCTGCATGTTGTAGAGCAGCAAAAAGAGGGGACTACTTCCACAATGGCATTAAAACATCTGACTGATACAGTTTAGAACAGGGTGGTGTACACAGCTGAAAGCAAAACTGCCTAGAACACTTAGGACACAATAGCACACAAAGCAGTTGGAGCACTTCAGTGTGTGGATATAAGTTCTCAAGGGGCTAAACGGGTTCCTAGTACAGCTGATCAAAAGTAAGAAATACAAAAGACATGAAATAATGTGAAGATTTGAGCTGGAGCAGACTTATATTCTGTTGATATTTTTGATTAACCAAGGAAGAGACATTTCTCCACCAGACCAAAGGAAGAAACCCCTCTCCCTCTCCCTCTCCCTCTCCCTCTCTCCAGCTCCCCAAATCACTGTCTTTCATAAAGCCCCAGTTTGGAAAAAAGACTGTCTTTTTTCAGCCAGCCCTACTTCTTGGAATAGTCATTCTCCCTAGTGTTGACAAGGCTTTGTAATGTATTATTAGAATATTTTGTGCATCATGTGGTGCTTGGCATGTGCAAGCTTTATTTTAGGCCCTGTACCACAGCAGTAAGTCACTCTGGTGAGCCTTACAAGATACAGGCGTCTCGCTGTATTGTAAACAAAGGGCTATCAAGTGACCTACAGCCATTAACTGATGAAATCAAACCACCTAGCACTTCTCTCTTTTTTCACTTCTCCACACAGTTGTTTGATGTGGCTTGAAAAACCGAAGGCAGATGACTTGTGTGATATTTCACCCCCTTGAAAGATCAATGAAATGAACTGTGGTTATGAGCGTTTCAGTGCAGTATCCACACTATGCCTTGTCACACCAGATATTTTCTGTCAACATCATGACACAGTTACTAAGCCAAATTTAGCTTCTTCATGGAGAAAACAATTATGCATTCTAACAGCAATATGATCGCATACTTTGGGAAAATCCCTCTAGTTTGACTATAGTTAGGCAATTGTTGCTAATCAAGAAATGCTTGTGACCACGGAGAGAATTTAAAATAGATGACCTTGAAAATTACAAACTAAATAATAGGAATCTGTACCAACTTTTTATTTCATTAGGACTTTATGCAAAATGAAAATGTGACTATACACCAGAGCTGTTTCTGCTGTGTATAAATCTAGTGTTTTCACTAGATTGGTTAAAACAATCCATCAATAATTCTTGTGGTGCTTTATTTCAGCATCCACTGAATTCTTTCTGTGGTTTACCTCTTTAATTACACAAAATAATAGGTTTTGGAAACTAATTGTTCTTCCTCCCTGTTATCTGATAAGAATCATGATCAAGAGTTGGGGATAAAAATCAGAAACACAGGCTATTTGCAAGTATTAGCTGGTAAAAACAAGTCACGCTTATAGTATTGAGACGTAAACATCTTCCTTCGAATCAGTAACATTTTTCTGATATTAATTAGTGATAACAGAATCCTGGAAACAAATCTAGCCTGGATTTACATTGAACTGGAAACTGTCTTCTGCAGGAAGCTGTGTTCTCATCTTCTGTAACATCCTGCTATCAAGAAATTCTTCCTGCTCTGTGCTGGGATGAGCTTTCAAAGTTTGCATAAAACATCCAGAAGTCAATATGATCCAAGAACAATTGTGTTGACATTGTGCCTGGCCAGTGCCAAGTGAAGGCCCCAGTACTGGGAGAAGTGGGAGCCTGGTCTGACTGCCTCTTTTCAACCAGCACTTCCACCCAAGAAACTGCTGAAATTGATGCATTCCTGCAGATTCACTTCTGATGAGTCTACATGTTCTGACAAATACCAGATTATGCAGAAAATTCTGAAAGTGCCCTGTTTCTGACACCAGGCAGAGGTAGGTATATCGTTTACTGCAATAAGTTTAAGCCCACTTAACAGAAGCAGCCCTGCAGTGGAGAGAAAAAGCAATGGGTGGGACAAGAGTTGTGTGAGGATGAGGCTGATTGACCACCAACACAAGAAAAAAAGATGGAAGGAAGGTTACTTGACAGGCACCTTATTTGTTGCAGTATACTCTGTGCTATGATCTGGTTTTAATGTTCTCAAATAGATTTCCCACCCAATATGTCCCTCAGCCTTCAGTTTACAATCCTCGTTATTCTTCCAGTGTCTGGAAAAGAGGATCCCTGGTTGTCCAACAACCAGTACCAGAGTGCACTGCAGGGGTATTTAGAGCCATAAATGCTATCTGATATATTCTTTCACTCCAACCATATTTTGAGATGTGAGACCAGTATCCTCAGATAGTCTGATCTGCCTTCACTCAGTAAAACATCACTGATTTCAGTCTGTGCTCTGGGACAAAAAATTCCACCTTAGACTCCTTTAGCAAGTGAGAATGGAATGGAAAATTTAGCAGTAAGAACAAAGGTGGGATTCAGTGTGATTTAAAGGATGGCAGAAATAATAGGTATTTTATTTTACCACTACAGAAAGGAAATATGAGCAATAAATGAAAACCAAGGAATCTTTACTCTTCTATTTGGGTCTCATCATAGTGCTTTGCTTTGTATACTTCTGAGATGTTTCAAGCATCCTCCCAGACAGAAATCTGCTGATTCCCACCTATGGGAAGCTTTGGTTTATGGGCAGCTCTTTAGGGAAGATGGCTCTCCACAGTCTGTGTCTCCAGCATAGTGTGAATCTTCTCTCAAGGTGCCTGGTATCAGAAGGAACATGCCCTACACTGAGACATTTATAGCTTAAGGAGAACATAGGAATCATGGCAAGAGTACTATGTACTTCACAGTCCTCACATCATATAAACTCTGCTGCTTCTTACTCAGAGTCTCATGACACTTGGTGTCTCTCTTCACGTGTATCTGGCCCAGGTTTTTTCGCTATTCCAACACTGCAACCTCCAGCACAGAGCTGCTCTTTTGTAACCTCCAGACCAGGTCACTGCAAATACACTTCACCTGAATACACCCTGAAGAAACAGAAAAATTTTGGTTTTTCTTTCCCCTCTTCAAAGGTCCAACAGCTCTCCTTAGCATACACTCAAATGTAATTTGTTGAACTTAAAGTTTTGATGAATTAGAACCATAATATAATAATAGAACCATACTTATGCTGTAGCTACAGGTCAAAGAACTAGCTGCAGACCATCAGCTGCAGAAAGAAAACAAGGAAACCTTTTGTTTCTCTACTTGGTTTGAATGATGGATGTGCTTCAATCTTTTGTGACCTTCCTGTGACACGTGTGTGTCCTTCATGTGCCTACAGATGACTTGTAAGCTTTGGCCTGCGATAGCCAGCAGTGAGCAATCGCTGTGCATGGATTATTCCTTTGTAAGAGATATTTTAAAAGCCACTGTCAAGATGTGCTCATTTTTCCATCCCTCATCAGATAGTAACCAGTAAAACTGATGAGAAAATAGATTTTGGTTAACCATTGCAAATGGTTGGTAATGATGTGTCATATTAGTGTGAGTGCTATGGTTGGTGCTTTGAGTGTTATTGTACCATTCACAGTTTCCCCATGGCAATCTTCTTCCTACAAGTTTCATTCCCTCTAATTATGACCTGGGTGATAATTTATAAATATTGAACATCATGTCTCTCCTTCACACTGTTTGTGACTGTACTGACAAGTCAGGCCTGGCCTTATTCTGGAATATGTTCAAGCTGGTATATGCAAGGAAGCCAGAAAACACAGCCATGCTTGTTTGCCTTTCCCTCATTTCAGAAAATTCGGTCCCATTTATCTCTAATCAGAAGCACTCCATGGATCTACACAAGCTCAGACAACATGCTGACATGAAAGCATTTTGTAGGTTGTTTGGTGCATCTCATTTTTCCCTGCTTCATTACAGAAAAGGAAATGACAGGGTCCTCTATCCCAAAGGGAGCGTGTTTGTACAAGAACATATTTAGTCCTCAGACAGGTCATTTTAGGTTAGGTAACAGCAGAGCCATGTTAATTCATGTTTCAAAATCTCTATTGTCAGCAAATGGTAGCCTTTTCCCCTCTTCAAAGTTGATAGTATGGTTTTACACTTTTTCCAGTGGGAGAGTACATCTTGTTACTTTGGTCCCTGACAGAGTTGAGGTGGCAAATTTATACAGAATAACCCTAGTGACTACTCCACCCTGAGACTTCAGTTTGCTTTGCTATTTTGGACTAAAATCTGTGCCAGTACAGGACCGGATTCCCCGTGGTTCAGAGGCTGTGCCATGGAGAAAGCATCATCATTTAAGAGGACAGGAAAAATGAGAGGGAGTGATAACAGCTCCATTCATCCAAATTTAATCAGTTGCAAATCTGTCACAGCACTAGGATGAGCTTCAACAGATTAGGCTTACAATGGATGTGTCTTCATCAGACTTTTCAATTAACCAATTATATCTATACACAAGGTTGATTATATGTAAAACACTTAGTGAGAGTAACCTGTTTTCTAAGTTTAGAGGTAAAAAAACTGGGTTTTAAACCTGAACTGAGTTACCTTAAGACAACTGAGAGAGAACAAGGAAATTGAGTAAGTCAGCAGCAAACATACAAATTATCCCTGAATTGAATTCAAATGGCTAATCTGAGATAAAATTCACGTTCCTTTGTCTTCAGCACTATTTCAGCTCTAAGTTAGGTCACTCATCCTGACTAGGGTGGCAACATAATTTTTCCTACAGCATGGTATGCACTCTAGCACAATTCAGTTTTCCACTGTATAGAGTCAAAGAACTTATTAGCATTGATACAGGTCATAAATTAATTCACAGCAGAGGAGCTGGGAGGTTTCTATGCTATTCCAAGAGGTGTGTGTGCATGCAGATGGCTGATGGGGAAGAACTGCTGGGCAGAGCACAGTCTAGGCAATCGCTGGAGGATCTACCATTACTAAATCCTCTACATACACAGTGCAGTCATGTGTGTCAGAAGAAATTGCTTTCATTAGCTGGCTCATCTGATCTGTAAGCCTTTCCTTACAATATTCAAACATATAAAAGAAAGAATTTAAATTATCCCTGCATAAAACACACCCTTTAATATATACACATAGTCCATTACTGGGTCCAATATACCATTATAATACACAGCAACTATCAAAAGAAGCATTTTTGTTGTCTAGCACATTTATTTTTAACAGGCTTTAAATCACAAGAACACTAATCTAGCCTTTGCAGTAGAGAAAATGCTATCCTTACACTCATTTGGCATTTTCTGGAGGTGTCCTGCAGTGCAGTAGTGTGTATTATTTGAAACTTGCTTCAGAACTCAACATCCTAAAGCCAACTCATGTCATGGGTCTCTAGCACAACTGGATTTAT